TTATATATAGACTTTTTATTAGTTTTATCAGTTTTGAACAAGTTGAATAAGAAGTTAATAACAAGAAAAAAAAAGTTTTTTATGTTTTTTATGTAAGTTTTTTAAGATAAGATTTTATTATGTATATACGCTTTTATATTGTAGCGATTGAATCGCCGCAATCCCACATTTGAACGCGAAGAATTCCGCTGAATATAAGTAGAATATTCGACGAAACTATAGATAGCCACGAACAGAGGAATCAGCTGTTTGGAGCACAGACATACATAGAAACACGATATATATAGAAACATGGCGTTGTATGCGACGACGAAATGAGATAATAGGCCGTTTAAACGTCTTAATTTTTTTTGCTGACTACGAGAATTATCTTGTATGTATCGTTCGAGCACACGAAATGTGCTGGAAATGTCCTATTATTTTTATAAATCAGGTTACAATGATCTGTATCGTAATTTATATTCTGCGGATTTTAATAAAACCGTTTCTAATAACCGTAGCTGTAACGGACAAGGACTGACGACAATAGTATTTAGAAGATGATTCGAGAGAGATACGAGCGACCGACCTGATGATTGCGAGGTCGTGGAGTCGTGTAACTGTCGCTGTTACGAATAAATGTTTTAACAGACGCCCCAGAATAAAGTTATGATTACATTAGAAATATACTCTGAATTTTTTGCATGAATGCCTCAATCCGCGATTCCTGAAACATTTCCCAAAGTATAAATAATTATTATCTTGTTCTCAAACTATTTATAAGAATGATATTAATGACGGTATAGCTATTCTATATTTACTATTTGCTTTGTGAAAGACTGTTACAACGTTTACAAGAATAGTGAGGTATTTCGGAATTAATTTACGATATTGATGAGCACTCTAATAATTTATTTAATCAACATATATACGTTTGAGAGGTGTTAACTTTGTTTGACATCGTATCGCAGCAACTCGTATACGGATTTTGAGCTCTAATTCTGCTTCGAAATCAAATATCGAACTGAAATCACGTTACCGGACGAACGGATCCACAGCCCGCAGAACCCATATCTAGATACTCCGTCTTTCTCTTTCGTCTCGGTTCTCTCCTCTGTCTATTTATCTACCTGTCCATTTATCCGTATCTCTCTCCTATCCTCTGCGACCACCGTCGTCCATCCGAGCGAGCATGGATACGCTTGCACACGTACATCGGTTGCGACGCCACCCTTGCGACGCCTCCTTCGTGGCGGTGGCGCTTTCTCTATCCACACGAAGACTCAGTCTCACCCACACCGTTCAACTTCGGGTTTCTCTCGGCTAATAAACGACCTTAGGGATTTGGTCCGTCTTGGTTCCTTCTCGTTCGCGTTGAAGTGAAGTACGCTCCTTTTGTTCCATCGGGCCTGAGTATTACCGAAAGGAATTCCAACGCCGTCTCCTTTTCCTAGTCCTTCACCGAATGTTCTCTGAAGTGACGGAATCTGCGCGTCGCAGTGCCTCGCCGACGTGCACGTCGAGTTGCCGATTATGTCAGAAAATGTGTCCCGGCCGCGGGGCAGCTTTCGATGCCCGTAAAAATGGCAGCGTTCCATCTATGTCCATTTGAACGACATTCGCTCGAGATCGCTCTCACCCGCGTGAGTTTTCGTTGCATCAACCATCTCCAACGTGTCCATTTTTTCCAATAATTTGCTCGGCAATATTCAGGCGAGATTGATCGGCTGCATAATTGGAAGTCGCTTTTTATAAGAAGCCTCGTCGTCGCTCGCACGATCCATCAATTTGCTCTAAAACCTATTCTTCATGATCTATTGTGTCTTCATTAAATTTTCAAAATTAGAATGCATCTGAAATCATAGAACATAATTAATACAACAGAAGATAAAGGTATTAAGTTTTTTTTTATTTTAACGATCAGAAAATTGAAAGTAGGTTACATCAATTCAGACGTATCGTATACCTTTATATGATTTCGTTATTAAAAGATACCACGATAACCGATGCCACGCAATTCTGCAAATCAAGATTCTTTTATTGATTGAAATTATATGTATATAATCACGGCATTATCTCTCTCTGCTTTACTAGTATTTTATATTTTGTAATGAATTTTTATCTGTAGGTGTCATTTAATATATTTATGAACAATTTTATTAGCGATTGCATCTCCATGTATCCCGACCATGGCATCTTTTATTATTGAAACACTACTCGATAATCGGATTTAACATTGACGACTAGAATTAACATACAAATGCGTTTAAACGCAATGAAATATACTGAATGGAATATAGTTCTTTTTTTCGATAATTAGTGAATTAATAAGTATTACAAAATTGTTATCGCAATGACGCAGACGTGTACTTAGATTCCTGCAATTCCAATTAATGACTATAGCAGCGCAGTAAAGCAACGCAAATTGCATATACCATTCGTTTCGCTTAATTTGATGAATCGCTCATTATACCCGTCGTTATTATACAAGCGTTTTGACAATGCCCAGATTTAAATTATTATCCGGGTACATGCAGTTACAGCGAGGTGAACCAGACGCGCATCTTTTCGATTAATTTGACGAATTGTCCCTGACGACCGAAGTCGTTATCGTGACGAGATTGTACTTCAATTGCGACGCGACTATCGATTAAAAAAAGAGAAGAAAAAAAAATTGATCGCTATTGTCCAGTCGGTGTTTGTTGTGCTTCGTCGAAATTTCAAGGATGCTCGTCTACGCGATCGGATAAATAAACGAAGTTATCTTCTCGTAAATTCGTTGCGATTGCAATACTTGCGTTTCGTCCAGTAAAAACGATTTTCTGTCACTGTCTAATTCTATAGTCGTTAAAATCTATTAGACCGAATTGTACCAGTGCTTTCGACAAAAAGGTCGTAGCATGCAAAACGTCGCTATCAATTTCGTCTAGCTCGATGTTCCCGAATTTTAGCAAATTTTGTCGGTCACCTCTCATACACATGTATTGATATTTTCTGTGTTCCATCTAGTTGTACGAAGCGTTACAAATTTGGATCGTATAAATTTCTCCCGACTCACGTTCGCTGATACGCAAATTTAGATTCATCAATTGCAACGTATACATAATTAACGTAATAATTTGGTGAGCAGACATGCGAAAAATTAATATCTCATTTGCTGTCGCGCGAAGCTATCGCAAATAGCACGCTTATATTACGATATGAAAGAGAGAATTATAATTGTTTAAATTTGTAAGTAACGACGAATTTAGAGTCATTCACACAGAATAGAATGTCTCATTCGATATATAGACGCGGCCAAATCTAAACTAGTCAAATGTACGATTTCGCACATGGTACAATATATGGCAAAAATATAAAAGCATCATATTATTTCGAACTTTGGGATACTATTATATTATGTATATGGATATGTCAAAGTATTTGTTGCAGAAATTATTAACTCGATTTTATTAAAAATACGGTTTTATTATTTGCTTCGATTGATGCACTTTTCTCTCGATAATTAGAAAAAAACCGATAATATCATTACTATTGATTTATTTTATCAGCAATTATGAAATAAATTATGAGATAATAGCGTCTTGGATATCTGCAAATCCTATAAAATGCAATTCAGAGTTGTCACAAAATCCTAAAATTCCATTTTCTTTTATTTTTAGATAAAACTTCATGATTTTCTTTGATGCTTTCAATAATATTTTGAAATTTTTTGTATTTTTGTCCTGATTTTGAAACGTCAAATATCTTGTGGAGCGAATAATTTAATATAGGACCGATAGTTCCATCTTTCGATATAACTACGTGATAATTTACTTACTGGCTAAACAAAAGAGTAAAAGAATAAAAGTATAAGAGAGTAAGAGAGTAATGCAGTGAGTTGAAGTTTATCGAAAGGTGAAACAACTCAGCTACAACAATGTAAGTTACTATTAACGTTGCTGACACTGCCTGCATTTAATTGGTAGTATTCTAAAACTGTGTAGGTGTGAAGTATGGATATTAAACTTTTTTAAAGCCGAGAATTTTAATTTTCCAGAAGAGTTTGCAAAGTTCCCTGATTTTTCCCTGATTTCTCTGACCGTTTTCAATTTTCCTCATATTTCCCCGATTTCCTTGAGTTTCAGTGGCAACACTTGGTATTCGTTGCATCAAATAAAATGTATAGGTGATCGGAAAAGACAGTAGTACGTACATACATAATTCCATTCTGCCACATATCAGCTTATGTTTTCAAATCATGATGATCCAGAATGCAAAATTAGTGCTCGTCACACGTTCATTAACATAAAAATGTCATTGATATTGTCGCGAGTGTAACAACGCCAACGACTAATTATGCACGCTTAACGCGTCTGTGTATTGCGGCGTGTGGCAGTTGAAATAACCTACGCAACTATCCCTCATGTGCACTTACCTATCTTCGCGCGTGTGCACTTGTGCACGAACGAAGGATGCAAAAGCGAAGGGAGCGTACTCTCGAATAGGGGATGGTGAAGTTCGAAGGTAGATACAGAAGAAGGAAGCGAGGGGGTTGGATAGCAGAGGCGTCGTTGGTATCTACCTGCCGTGTTGGTAGTCGCGGGGGAAAGCAGCGGTGAAGTGAGGAGGAAAGAGGGCTTTCATCTATATGAGAACTGCTGATGGTAGTGTTGGTGATGATGGCAGTGGTGGTGGCGATGGATAGCGGTTGAAGGGTAGAGAATCGGAGGGTTCGCAGAACAGCGGTGGCGGCGGTAGTGGCGGTGGTGGCTGTTGTAGTAGTAGTAGTAGTAGTAATAGTAGTAGTAGTAGTGACGGTGATATGGTGGTGGAAACGACGGGCGTCGGAGGAGAGGGTGCGGAATCGTTGACGGTGGTAGTGTCGGCGGCAACGGCGGCGGTGGGTGGGTGGGTAGGTGGGTTGATGGCGGTGGTAGTGGTGGTGGTGGTGGTGGTGGTGGTGGTGGTAGTGGTGGTGGTGGTGGTGGTGATGGTGATGGTGGCGTGGGTTGGTTTCAGTGTTCGCGCGGCCGCTCCCTGTCGCACACGGACGACTCACCCCGACGTAGCCGGCGTCGCGACGGCTCCCGCAATCGCCGGCGAAAACGTGCTCGCGGAAAATACGGTCGCGCGGTCGCTGCACGTCGCTCTGTTCGCCGCTTTGGAAAACTCGATTCGCCGGCTACGAATGTAATTCGCTCCGTCGCGTTGCCGCCGGCTCACCGCGTCGGAATTTCGGGCTTTTTAATCGGGAACCGACGAGAGGCGAACTGTCGCGGCCTCTGGCTCTCCCTCGTACTTTTTTTCCTTTTTTTTTCTACTTTTGTGAATCGAGCATCGCTCTGTAACGCGAGGCGTCGTTGTATCTGCGACGTGCGTAGGTGAAAAATAGTCCGTCTGGCGAACCGGTCGCTTTATCTACGCCCTTCTTTTTTTTAGGGGGAACTTCGATCGTTAGCACGTGGTCTGTGATAATCCTCGTGAAAGTGGGGTTGCTTTAACGAAGTCACCGACCGCTGTGTCCACCTGTGGATAACCATACGAATTCGTTCGGTGACTTCGGAGTACAGTGTGTATTTAACGATTTGTGCTATTACGTGCTAACTGTATGACAGTGTATAACCTTCTTCCGTTAGTAATTTTACTAAAGTACTGATTCATCTTGCAAAATTGGAAACAAACGGTGTATTCTGTTGATTAAATGCGAAACATTATTATTTGTGCATGAATTCCTACGCATACCTAAGTATACTCCATTCGAACTTTCCGTACTGATCACAATTACACTATAACTATTTATCAACAAGTTGATACTAATCTGAAGTCGAGGAATTTAGTAAAAAGCATTTGTCTCTGATGGTATATACGATGGAATTGTAACAATTCCCGAGCGTCAAATGACCACGTTAACTGACCATTATTTTCGGTTCGGCTGTTAACACGTGGCCCGTGACGATTCTCGTAAAATTGTACTCGAATCGTTTTAACGAAGTCAAAAGGCAGCGATTTCACGTGTGGATAATTCCACGAATTATTCGTGTATTTAGACAGATTGCGTTTTACGGACTCTTACGTTTCATGGGTCAAAATTAAGACAAACGACTGCATTCTAACTGTATGTTCGGACAAAAGTATTCCAAACTTATTATAATATTTCTTATTTATTGTGGTGAAGCTTGTAATTTTTAATTAACTGTAAGATTTCTGTAATTATCTCCGTAATATTATTAGGAGCTGATTTTGTTTATTTTAATTATTGAAAAGGATTATTTTGCTACAAAGAATTTAATTCGAAATCGTTGAAAACTGGAATCATTTTAAATAGAAAATAAAACTATAGTTGCACAAATGTAATGTCCAGAGAGTTGTAAGATTTAATAACTATATCAAGTGCAATTTTTCCACAACTAACGAAACTAAAGAAACAGATGTATCGTTACAATAACTATATTAACGATTCAAAACCAACAAGTGTCTTAAATCAACAAGTCCGAAGTATCAAGGTCAGCCCAGGACTATAGAGGCAGAAGCTTGCCGACGGAAAGTTCTCATTGTAGTGCTAATTGGCGGCTGTCCTGCGTTTTGGAGTATTGCAAGTGATAGCTGCATTTTCATAATAACCAGATTGGAATATCGTTACGAATCTACGGTTTATATTAGTTATATTAAATAATCGCTTTTCTCGTAGAAAGTTATACATATCGAATTCGCGTGCTTTGATCGTAGAATTGAGGTTTAAAGTTCGTCGTATCGGAATTAAAATTGGTTGGCCGTATCGGAATCCAGCAAACTTATCTGTTGCATATTGCAAGTTCTCATTCCTTTGAATCTCGTTCGCTCTGTGTGAGATCTGAGAATTTGTATCATTAAAATTTTAGTCTATAGACTGATATGTGATTCATCTTTTATTTCGGCGAGAATAATCTCAACACTTTGTAAAATTTAAAGTAACGTATTATATATAATCATTTTGAAAGTGTCCAAAAAAGGTGACTATAGAAAATCTAAGTCATCTCTGCTTAACCAAATCGATTAAAACAGTTTTATATATTATTATTACTTTGTTAGAAGAAATGATAAATATATAAAATAAAATAAACATAATAAATTAAATAAATAGCCAGGTCAAAGAACAGAATACGATTATATTTTAAGAGAAACGCTTTAAGAGAACGCTGCTGTTTAATTTTATAAAGGTTTGTCGCTGAGAGCGATTTAACTTTTAATCTCCGTGGAAACAAAACTACCCGTCATGTGTGTAGTTCTTCTCGTCCAATAAACATATCACGATAAATCTCTGTCCGTCTAGGCTGCGAAATCCCGTCACACAGGGGACCATTATCTGGCAGACGAAACGACGTTAATTATTTCTGCCAAAGGACATACGATAAATGCGTCGCAAATTGCGCTTTCAACACAGGCACCTTTGAGACATAATAATCATATTAAATATAATTAACTCTCATTTTCTTAAAAATACATAAATGATCAATTAAGTTGATATCATTAAAAGGAGAATAAAATTATTAGCAAAAATCATATTTTCTATAAAAACATTAAACAAGAACGATTAGCAGCTTATGTGAATTATTCCTGTTGCGGCGAACTCGCAGAGAAATCATAAGAGACTCGTTGGGAAAAAAAGAGTTAAGTTACAGTGGATTGTCTGCTTGAGTGGATACATAAGCCGAAATATAATACCTGAGATATCGAGTTCATTCTATAGTAGCGGAAAATCTGCTACAGAGTTTGGTGTGGATCAAATTTCACTGAAACCATTGAGATTTTACAATAGAGGAATGCAAGAAATATATGGATTCTCGGAAAAATAAAACGAAGAGAGATATTGCATTAATACACCTGCTTGCCCTCATTCTTTATACTTGGAAACGGAATAGCATTCAAGTGAAGAAATTATCACGATACTGCTTACACCGCCCATGTTATCCTTTCAAGTTCTCCACGTTTCTCGATGGTACGTCCTCGAAATGACATATTAGGGGATAACTGGATGAGGATCGAAAATATCAGCGGCGAGCATCTGTCGAAGTGAATTCGAGTGCTTCGATGTCGTCGATCTCTGGAGAGCATTAAGCATCTTACTCCTACCTTCATCCGTTCACGGCGTCATCGAATTCCAATTATGTCGCAGCATCGAAGAGGTTCCATACATGGCAGCAGTCCCGTTCCGGGTCATCCAAGCACGACCGTTTCCGCGTCCTCCATCTCCTCCTCTGCCGCTCACGAGGTACAAACGAGAGGGATACCTTTGCCCGGAATGGTACCATCGCGCTCGATCCACGCTAGTCCCATGCATGGGAATCCGATCCACGGGTTCGTCAACCCTCTTGGACCAGGCGGTCTCGTTCACCCTCCGCCTCCTACGCATGTAGCGGCTGCATCCGGAATTTCTCATCATCCGAACGTTCATCAAGGTATCGGAACTTCCGCTGTAACGACGGTTATATAATATTCTAAAGACCATGGAGGCTGTTTTTAAACAATAGACACTTCATTGAGATGGATTATTGTTAATGGAATGTTACCATATGTATTGGAATTTTTCTTCATCTATGACACTTAAACGAATTTAAAATTAAAATTTTTTAAATATATTTTTTTTTAATATTGTCTAATATAAAATACCTCGTTAATTATATAAAAATGAAACTATGTTATTTAATTAATTAATGTTTTAATCTTGAAACATTTACTATTCTTCTCTCTTCTATAGTACGCTTTTTAATATCCATTATATACGTGGCTACTAAATATATTACAGTTAAAAAAAAATCGTTAAAACTTTATGTGATTATAAATGTCGCAAATTTTAATTTGAAGACGGATTATATCTAATCATATTCGTAAAAAATGCACGTCAGAAGTTGGACGGTTATCAAGTGATGGCGTTCCATCAATTATACGTCGTAGGCGTACAGTGAGAAGCTGGACGTTCATTGATCTCGTGAGGATCGGTAGAGCGTGTAATTGGGCCGCGTTGATAGATGAGCTATGACGTATTCGACGTGTTCGCGATTAAAAGATAGACGAACGGGTAATGTCCACTGGGTCCGAAATTGGAAACTTGTTTCAGGAAACGTTATTCTGAACGCGCCGCTTCCTTGTATTATCCTCGTGATTTACCTCGATCTGAAATGTTACATATAACCAGCGAAGAGACGCGAGGTGTATACGTTGCATTTGTTTGCTCAAGCCTCGTTTTATTTAGACTGTCATAAAACTACTAGCCTATGCTTGCCTTGTCAATATATTTACCCATAGGCCTGTTTCTATTATAAACAACTCATTCGATTTACTTTGCATTGATAGAGTATTAATCGTAATATTTTAGGTAGAAGAAAGTTTCGAGCATAAATATTTATATATTTAAATATTTTTTAATATTTGAATAAAGCACAAAAGTGATCCAAATTGCATTAGATTTATATTAAAAAATAATAATTATGTACGTATAATATCGTAATATTTCAAATATTAAATATATCGAAAAGTTTTATGACGTAAAAATTTGTTCGAAAGATTTTAACATGGCAGTTTCTACCTGTTGAGTACAATGCTTTTATTTTATGTATATTAGAAGTTGTTTCATCAGCATAAATTTGAAAGATTAAAATATTCCTCCGATATATTCAATGTTTTATCAAATATTGGAAACTAAATTAAAGGAATTTCATATCAGTGGCGATATTTATTTCTATGTTTTTCGGCGATTTATTTATGCAGCCTCCAATGGTCTTATGTTAATTGTGTCGGGTATCTGGTACGATTTGTTACGCGGATATTCACTCGAAGGCACCGAGAAGATACTGCCACCGGGCTCTCCGTATTCATCGCACAGTTCTCCGCTGAGGACACCGATGAGTTCTGGTCACGGTAGCCCCCAGGACTCACCACACGTGGCCAGACATCGTAGGGACTCGGAACATTCATCTGGCGCTATATCAAGACGTGGTTCGTCGGATGTGGTTTCTCCCTTGCCAGAAGGTCATCCTTTAGGCTCACCAGACGGTCGCGGCCGTCGACGCTCTGACTACAGCCCTCATCAGGGTAGGTCCATACGCGATGTGACAGCAAAAGAATGTAAGATTAAGAAGGCGAAGCTTAATCATATTGTTTGGACAGTGATGTATTGAAGCGTCAGAGTAAATTACGAGAAGAATACTTCAAATTTATAAGGATTTGATGTATTTATTATGATGTAGTCTTAATAGATTTTTTAAGCGCCTTGAATGACATCTCATCATTTTGCTTTGATAGATTTGTTATTAATCACATTTAATTCTACAAAGTCATCAGTATTACAGATGCAATCAATAGAAAAAAAATTTTAAAAGATACGAATGATGCAATCTTTTATTTTATTTGTAGGAATAATAAAATATATTATGCTATTTTCTATAAATAAAAGAAAAAATTTTTATAATTTTTTTATTATACTAAATGTATTATTATTATATAATTTAATATTTTACAATTCATGTAAATAATAGAAACTATATGTAATATACACGCATAAATTAAAAATCTTATATTTTTTATTGCTTATAATTGATTATTGTCTCGTTGTGTTAAAATTGATGAGGATTATTAATCCAAGTTTCATCGATCGTAATAGTTAAATGCATCTTTTCCTTTACTTAAAATAGACAATTTCAGGACAATTAATATTCAGTCGTATGTGCTCTGTTCTGATTGTGAAAGTGGCTACGAGCGATTGATCTTACCGCAAGCGCGTCTGCACTAGGCAACCTTCATTTACGAATTTCCTAAGCCCTTCAAAACCTCATAGAACCCTATGCTGCCCTTTGATCCGACGAACCGTGGTTTACAACACACAACTCCGCCATGTATTACTCGAATATAACTGAGAGTTGTTACTGTCAAAGGGAATTGCAGACACATACGCTGTACTTTAAATAGTTTACAGCTTTATATGCATATTTATAATTTATTTTTCTTGGTTATGATTTTAATGTTACATACATATATTGATAGAATTTAAAAACTGGAGACACAGATTTTTTTTTATGATGTTGTGACAGTTTTTTGTGACGTGCTTGATATTAATTACAGAAATTACACGGTTTCAAGCAACAAGATGAAATTGCCGAAATACCGAGGATACCATGAGATAATATTTCGTGCTTGTTATAATGAGAAAGTTCGTGTTATCTAAAGGGAATTCGTTTCATATAGTATAAACTAACTCAGACAATAAATTAAAAGTTATATAACAAAATATATTATAATTGATGTATTCGACATGCATGTATAACCACTTTTAGAAGCAGATTGCTATTACCGACAAAATGTTATTACGTTATTATGAATTTTTCAGTTTTTAACGATTTTGCTTTTTCTTTGAGATATTAAAAGCTTTTCATAAAGAATATTGAGCATTTGGTTATTAGAATTAAAGTCTTTTTTAATAATAATTTTTCTGTCAAAAGAGTAATGATTGTGAAGAGTAATTATGTTAATATACAATAATTTAATATTAATAAAATAAAATAAATAAATAATAATAAATAAATAAATATATATTAATATATATACATATATCTATATATGTACAATATACAATAATATATATGTACAATTTTTTTACAAGCAAACAAAAATGATCTATTAATCCATTTTATTGATTTTTTAATATAAGTACATAACGTTTATCATATTTATAAAAAAATTTAAAAAACATGATTAATAATACTTTTTTTAATTAAACAAAATATATATACAGACAAGATTATTTTAATTAATTTTTTATATTCTCGATATTATTTGCTTTTTGCAAATCTTATTTTCTTAGAGTGAAATTTAACGCGATGAATATTTGCATTCAGATAGTCTAAAGGGAATGGCTTTCAGAATGAATGACGTTTTTGCATGTGTCCATTTCGCTCTTGGGATATATATAACTACGACAACAGTTTACACCTGTAACTAAAAGGTTGAATGAGGTGCGCTGGAGTGGAGGGTAGTGCGTGTCGGTGCGTTGCACTGAGGGGCGCGAACGTCATAACTCGCAGTTACGGTTGCGTGTAGAACCGGCCGGGCCCGGCGTATGCTTTTGCTTTCTCAGTAGATTGAGTTTATCACTGTCAGACGTAGTAACGAGAGGGCAAACAGCAAAGCAAAAAACATTTGTGCTTCCGCATTGTACTTTACCCTCTTAATGCCACTAAAGCATCCTAGCTATTGTTATTATGTTTCATCATTTTATCATTACTGAGATAATGATAACTCAGATATCAAATGAGTATACTGCCAGTTTAGATTACATTCTCACTGCCTCGTAAAATGTGCGATTGACGAGAGTCGTCAAGTTATTAACGTCCATTCTTTTTCTAATTTTATCAATAGGTATCATAATTAATAAAGAGTGTCGAGGTAATATATCAAAATTATAGTTTCATGATTTCGTTCTAGCTATTCCAGCTTCGAGAGGTCAATAAAAATATCGTATGACTATCATCCATTGAAAAATATCAACGCCAGATTTATCAACGTCGGATTTCTTTTGGATTCCTCTGACCATATTCTTGGTATCTCGTATTTCGGTATGATCACGAATGTCTGTGTGACGAAAGCGGTTCATCGAAAATTCAAACATTCGACTACGGGAATAGATCGTAATCTCACTAGCACACCTTTGAAAATTGGGACCTCGTTAGCGACGGATGAGGAGAAAAATCGCATGATTTTCTTTGGAAGGGACGAAAGGTTATTCACCGGTCACAACGGTCACCTCTTCGACAGATACGCGCAACCGCGTATACGAAAGCTACTTGCTATTTTCTTGTCACGTCCAAGCCGTCTGTCTAGAAGAAGAAAAGGGTGGAAAGTTCAGATAAATTACGGCAAAACCGATGGGATCTTCGATGCGGATGGCCGCGTCATCCGTAATATCAAATATGAAACAATAACGAGCAGATTATTGTGGTAATAATGATTTATTAAGTATTTATTACATTATACGCTAAAGAAATTTTAAGCTTATAATAATAATGTATATAAATCATATAAAAAAGAAAGAAATTTATAATGAATAACATGTTTTACAAATATTTTTCACGATTAGCAAGTAATTCAATCTTTTTCCAACACCGCAAGATTTTCGGATAAAAAATTGATGTAACAGCACTTTTTCAAACAATGTGTCATACTTTATAGCGAAATTGGAACTTCGCTTGCATGAAATATATACAATACATGTGCAACCTCTCTGTAACATGATTTTATTTAATTTATACGTTTATGGTTTTAAAGCAAAAATGTCCACGAATTAATTTAATGAAATTGCAATAAATTTATGATCTGTTATATTTGTTACGCTTTGGTTTCACACATATAATTATATTATTGTATCCTTTCAGTTAATTTCAGGTTTAAATGTTGATTTCACTTTGGTAGTTTCCAATGTTAAGCCGCCTAACTTAAACGAGAGGGACAGGGTGGAATAGCGTGAGGGAAAGGAGCTACTTAACATCGCATCGATTTGCATAGAAAGTATCTGCTTTCCGTGCAAATGTAGTTTTAGAAGAACCATAAGGTTGAAGAGAATCAATTAAAATGGTGATCTGATCTGCCATTTTACTTGTTTTTCACTCATTTGCCTCTTGTTTTCTATCCTGAACTAGCTACTTTCATTGCAAACATTATTTTCACTCTAAACAGGCAATAAAATTACTTGTTCATGCCCGTTTCTATGAATGAAGATTAATCTCAGTTCGATTTATTTTTCATCTCTTTCGATTTAGTTCTAACATAAGGAAAAGAATTAGGAAAAGATGAAGAATGAGTTGAATCGAAATTAAAATTACTTTACATTAATAGAAACGGATACATAACTGTATTATTTTTATTTGTACTTATATATATTTTAATCTTTATTATATTATAGGCTATATTTACTTGTTATATTAAAATAAAAAGTTTTTAGGATGTTATCTTTAAAAAATTGATTAAGCATCATAAAAGTCTTCTTTGGATGGTGCTTTTCATGAAATTATTCATGAATATAATATTATGTCGTTTTTTTATATATTTTGTATTAGATTAATCTTTTTTTTTTACTACTGTACTTTATATAAATATGTGCAAGTCGTATTTGCGACATGGATTAACTTTAATTAAAATATATGTATAAGGCATATCTTTTTATTAATTTTATATTATGAAAATGAAGACGATAGAGATGCTCTTTGATTTAGTTTTATTGTTAACGCAAGCAAGTGTAGGTTGCAAAGGAAGGATGGAATATTTCATTCATTAAACGAGGGCACTGAAAGAGAAAAGAATATCCGGTGTCATACCAGCATAGCATAGCAGAGAAATAATGTTAGCCGCATTTTTATTTGCGAAACTTCATTTGTGACGTATCATATCTAGATATGAATAGTAGTACAATCCATATTTTTAGAGTCGAATTATAATTTTCGAATAAGAGACAAGCGATTCGATTACCGATACTTCTCATGTAAAACGCATTACATTTTCGAAATAACGTCGTAGAATTTAGCTTAAAAAAATGTAAAAAAAATCACACGATGAGTCTTTTGTGTCAGATTATGTACTACATTGATAAAATAGTAAACATGAAAAGTTTCGATCGTGAAAGAAAAAAATGTGTAATGATACTTTTTGCATGGCGATTTCAGATGGATGACACAGGGCAAAATAATTCTATTTTATTTTAGCGTTTTGTTTAGTATTTGCGCATTTTTTATTCAATAACATTCATGCATTCTGAGTAAGGAATGGGTCTCATTAGGACGTTTGTTGGCTGGAATTGCATGCGACACATGCATGACGCATACATCGTTGTCGCAGCCAATAAAGAAGACAAACTGCGCAATGTACAATCTCTGCATTGCAATAGATATCGAAGTGGCGGAGCCGCGGAACCGCTGCTCGACATGCGAAAATTATCTCCTAGTATGAGCACGCGATTGTGAAACATTGTTTTCCCTCTCGGTTACCCTTCACTCGCCATTTTTTCGTTTTTTCGCTCTCCCACTTCTTCCTTTTAATTCTTTCTCTCG